GGCTGCGGCAAATCAGTTGTGGTGCGAGCAGCAGCTCACATGCTCCGCCAAGACGGCAAAGGAGTGGTCATCGCGGCGCCAACGGGGGTGGCGGCCTGGAACATCAATGGCGTGACCCTCCACTCATGCCTCCTTCTCCCGGTCGTTAACAAGAGCTACGGCAAGGCCTGCGATCTACCCCTTCCGAACGGCCCCCATCTGGCATCCCTCCGAGCAATCTGGGCAAAGGTGGTGGCGCTCTTCGTGGACGAGATGAGCTTCGTTTCGGCGTTCATGTTGGATCGACTGGACCAGCACCTCCGTCTCGCAAAAGACACTCCACGCCTACCCTTCGGAGGACTCCACATCATCTTCGCCGGAGACCTCTACCAGTTGCCGCCCCCTGGTGGATTACCAGCCTTCGCCAGTCGGCTATGGCTTCTCTTCGAGCTGTGCGAGCTCCAGGGCAACCAGCGTGCAGCCAAGGACCCCACCTGGGCGGCTTTGCTCGCGCGGGTCCGCGTCGGGAACTGGACAGAAGCGGACATCCAGACCCTGCGCGGCATGGTGGTCAAGAAACATGGCTCAAAGCGGCCCGCCCCAAAGGCCGTCAATCTGTACGCCACCCGAAAAGCAGTCGCGGACAGCAACGACAAGTACAAAGCCGAGCATCTCCAGAGCTCGGGTGCCACGCTTCACGACTGCCCGGCCGTGGACATCAACGTCAAGACCGGCGCTCCGCTGGACCCAGCAGCCATATGGACGGATCCAGAGGATACTGGCGGACTCGAGACCTTGCTGCAGCTTTCCGTCGGCTTGCGTGTCATGCTGCGACACAACATCGATGTGGAGGATGGCTTGGTTAATGGGGCTTGCGGCACCGTTGAGCATATCGACATCGACGAGACCAGCGGAGAGACGCAAAGGATCTGGGTCGCCTTCGAGAAGAATGCCGGAACCATTTGGCGAGCAGAGCACGGCACCAACTCTGTGGCCATTCTCCGTCGCTCGGGCACGTATGTAGACAAGGACTGCAGCAAAGCGGAGAGGCGTCAATTCCCGCTGGTGCTCGCCAAAGCCATCACCATCCACAAGAGCCAAGCAGCCACGATGCACCACGGAGTCCACGCGCGCTTGGACCACACGGTAACCCAGGAAGGTCAAGCGTACGTCGCCTTGAGCCGCTGCCCAGAGCAGGCATTGTGCACTCTGGAGCACTTCAACCCGAAAGCGCTGCGATTCAACAAGAACGCTGAGTGGGCTCTGCACAAATTGAAGTTTCAGCAAGCGAAGAGAGATGGTCCGCCACTCTGGTGCACCTTGTTCAAGCCTCCGCAAAGCAAAGAAGTCTACTCGAAGCGCTTGCAGNNGGCAAGCCCGATTGGGGGAAGCTGGAAACATGCTGCGGCGAGGATGCGGAGGAAGGTGTCCGACCGTGGCGCTGCCCCCAATGCGGTGAGGAAGTTCCCGACACTAAAGCTGCTATTCAGGCTCACAAGAGAACGTGCCCGTGCAAGCCCAAATCCAAAGCCAAGGCCAGAAGCTCAGCCAAGAGCAAGGCCAAGGCGGCTAAGGCGTCGGCTGGCACCGCAGCAACACCGAGCCGGGCTATCTGTGGGACGAGCAAGCGATCCGCGGAAAATGCCATGGCAAATGAG